ACATGGCTATCTTTTAATCTGCCTGATTATCATTTCCATTCCATCGCCTATGGAAAGGGAAGTCACGATGACTCCACCTCAGATGAATATCTTAGAGATTATGCACAAGTAATTAATATGAGGTCTAAGGAGGGTGACTGTTCAAGACCCCTACAAGAGTAATACATCATTCCTTTCTACTTCTAAGTCAACTTGCAGCTTAAAGCTTTAAGGATTATTTCCCAGAAATAATGAAGAACTGACACGCGAGCTGCAAGTAGAACCATGAAAAACCACTGGGAGAGTGATGCATCTCAGCAATAAAGCTGGTGAGCTTATACCTACAGACAAGGTATGCATACTTTTAATGCTTCCATGGATTCTCCCCCAACACCACCACACACATTTCCACACCAGAAAACCACTTCATTACACAAAGGAGAAAAAGCAGCTTGAGAATGAATCACTGAGTGGTTCTGCAGTAAATATGGAACTTTGTGTACTGCATGAATCCTTGAGATAAAGCCTGAAAGCCCTAGCTTTGGAAAGAACTGTACTGCAGAGCGGTTCATTTTACTCGCTAAATGAGAAATGATTCACATGCTGGAATTTCATCATTTGGATGTTATGAAATCCCTCCCTCCCTGCCTTCCACAAGCCCCCGACATCCCGGTTTTGGGAAAACCCTTCTGCTCCATCACCATGTCCATAGTGCCCACTGGCGATGTGAGCTGGTGCCACTGCTGCTGCTCTCATTGCAGCACTTCTGTCAGTCTCGGGATCAAAGCCAAGCAGGAGCAAAAAGCGCTGCGCTAAGACACGTTGTTCCGATTCTTAACCGCACCTCGCCGTAGCGGGATTTGGTGAGGGGTGGGGGGTCTGGACAAACGACAAAAATACCAGCAGTTTGATCTGATCGGATGTGATGTACCCGTGCGTGCTCGCGGGGACGAGAGATAACACGGTTAATTCCACACAGGTGCAGATGCGGACACGCGTGGAGGAAATTACGGCTCAGCACGGAGGTAGAATGCGCGGACTGCAGCGCGTAATAAAACCAAGTCCAGGAACTGCACTTGTAGACCGTGCACCGCTAAAAACAGAAGAAAGTGATCGAGTCCCAAACACCGAGCACGAGCTGTAGTTTGTAACATACTCACCTCACTCATGTTGGGAAGATGCGCGGAGGGAGTTCTGCAACTGAAGAAGAAGAAGTGGACTTGGGTCTTTCTTGCTCTCCGTGCTCAGTCCTTCAGCCAGAAGCGCGCGAGAGAGTGCTGCAGTGTGTGCTTCACAGACTCTGGGAAAAAATAAAAAATTAAAAGATGAAAGAGTGATGGAGGGGAGGGGGTGGTGGGCTGAGTGGACTGTGGAGGCTCCGAGACCGAGTGAAGCAGGTAGGCTGACAGAGTGAGGAGATGCTCAGCTCTCCGGTGCAGATGATGGGAGGAAGCTTTAGTGACAGCAACGCTGCGGTTTATGGGCAACAGGAGCTCTCTCTCTCTCCCTCCCTCTCTCTCTTTCTGTCTCGCCCACTCAGTCTCAACCAGTCACCAGGGAGCACACTATTGCCCTGGTACAGACATGTAGGCTAATAGGCAGGTAATAAGAAGTATAACCCTGGAGCATTTAGATACGCCTTTTACATAAGCGTGGTAATTGATGTGTTATAGTTTTTTTTTTTTCAGCTTTGAAATGACCATGAGCTGAAAACACGTGCAGCCTGCAAACACACGAATATACTGCAGTGACATCCTGTTCTAAACTTTTTATGTTGGGTGGGGGAGGCTTCACAATACAAGGATGCTATTTTCCACATCCCACTCAGAATAAATATACGATTTCCTGTCCAGAGTTTCAAAATAAACCACGTTTGCAAAAGCAGAAGGTGTAAATTGTGTTTTTGCTGAGACCAAGTTAAATGCGGGACCATTATTGCTGATACCAATGCCAATACTATTCACTTATAAAGGCCGTGTATACATGATAGAGCAGTCTGTCATTCATTTATAGATGAATCATCATGCATTTGCAATTCTGAACAAATTTTAATGACCAGTGAATCACTGTGATGTTTATTTTCCCACAATAATTAATTCTGACAACAACACACACCTTTAAGCTCTTTGTGTGTTTTGAAACTGTGGGTTTTTTCCCTGTCTCTTAACCACTTAACTTCTGTTGTTTAAATGTGCTATCTATAGCCTATAGGCTAAAACAATTCAGTGGGCTACACACTGAGAGAACAGAAACAAAGTATCAATCCAATACCAGTACCTTTTGTGTCAATACCATTGGTATTTCTGTCGATCTGCCTGGGGGTGGGTGGCGGGGGTTCTATTTAAACAATCTTAAACTTACAGTTGTATGTGTTTAAATGTTAATTTGATGTAATGTCATGTCTGATCATGGTCACTTAACTTTAAAAAGGGTGTTTAGAATTTCTGAATCTATTTTAAGAGCTACCTATTTTTTTTCTAAGGCTTGGAAGTAAGCAGACATAACTGGTTAGTGTCAGGGATAAGGGAAGAGGAAACACAGAAGGACAGAAAACAGATTCCCTTCTGCTCAACCCTGCCAAGTGTCTCCACTTGATGGTGCTGTTGTCATTATGTATCTCATTTGATCCTAGCCTGCACCTGGCCTGGGGATTTCATAGCTGCTGTAAATAATAGAACCCTTTCCACGTTCAAATAATACTATTAGAACACATTAGGTACTCAAAGACATTGACATTGACATTGCAGTGGTCGTTGTTGTCCACATCCTCCTTCTGGAGGAAAATGTCAGCACCAGTTATGACCCACATGTGCAGTTCAAATGTGGGCCACACACTCATCCTTGACTGACAGCACTGACTCACGGTGACTGCGGCTGTGTACACTCAGCCACAGGTCAACCCTTATTGGCCCAGATGTCAGGGGTGCCTTGACATTTGGGTCGCATGCAACCCACGCAACATTTAGAGTGCTGTAAGTAGGCCTTAAATGCCAAATGGAGCCCAAATTAGAGGCTAACATGAAATCAAGGAAATCACGCAGCACAAGCACAGATGACAGAATATGCATGATGCAAAAAAATCTACCATAAATGCCAAAAACATCACAGTTTTGTAAAAGCTTCTTTCTGCCACTGGAAAAAATGTAAGAAAACAAAACAAAACAAAAAACCCCAACATAAATCAAAATGTCGACTTGGTAAGTCAAACTTATGAGAAAATAACCTGAAATTTCGAGTTAAGAAGTAAATATTTTGAGATCATAATCCAGATTTTTTTATTTATAGATGGCAAAAAATGTTTTGTTTTTTTCAATAAGGGAAAAAACTTCCATAAAGATAAGCTTAATGAATAAAAAAACCCCCCCAAAAACGAACAGATCCTATATGTTCAGATTACTTTGCATTGCTGTCCTTTTGTGAATATACAGTAACATTTCTCATTTCCCAGCAGGACATGCCAGTACAGCGCTAACTGTGCAGCTTACAGGTTAAATAAATTTAAATCTTCTTAGTCGGGAAATAGGGAAAATTCAGTCTTAGCTGCCCTTGCTACTCAGTTTAAACAGGCAGAATTTGATTAGGAACCACTGCTGTAAAACACAAATGAAATCATAATTAATGGATATACATTTACAGATCTCTAATATTAGATTTGCTAAGTTATCAGTCTTTAAAGCAAACATCTCTGTGACCTGTAAGCAGAAATGAATATCAAGACTGAGGGAAGCCTGTTTAAATCCCCTCAATATCGGCCAGGAGGCCACAGGAGGGCTCCCTTTGCAACAAGCTCAAGCTTTCTGTATTTCACCCACTTCAACCAGATGCAGCATCTCAACATCTCAAATTCTGAAGTCACAAACACGTTCTTATATAATGCAGATAAACATGCAAAATAAAGCTGTCTCACTGAGCGTTTTCACACTTTAAAGAACAACTGCATCCTAAATGAACAGGTATAAAAAAGAGAGAGACAGGATTTGTTTTGTGTTTATTTATTTCTAATGTGTTTTATTTTTATTTATTTTTTTATCTGTCCACAAAGTTATATTAGTCACTACTATGTTAGGTCAGTTTTCCCTCACTGCAATGGCAGTAAACTACACAAGAGCCCAAACCCAGCGTGGTCCCCTCACCTCACAAAAGATTTGTCATATTACAAAAAAAAAGAACAATACCCTTTGAAATGACAAATGTATCCTTTCTGGAGAATTTTCTGATTTACAATCAGGATATAAGGTGCCGTTTTCACATCTATTTGTAAATTACAAGCGAGCAAATTGAAAATTGTGCAAAAAATTCGCTGATTTTTTAACAATTGTTTGGCAAAAAACTTAACTGAAGTCAGACAAACACAAGCAATCTTCTTGGAAACATTTGAATACTTTGTTAAATTGTCAGCTGATTTTGTCTCTATTTCTAATTGTGAATTATTCTAAAAATTGGGAATGCACCTTAAAAATCTGACAATACTCTTAATAGATATTACAAAATTACAGTTTACAACTATTTAATTAAAAACAGAATTTGTAGTTGCTGCTGATACACAAAACATGATGTAATCTTATTTCTTCAGGGCAATAATCAACTTTGAGAACATTTTTTAAGCAACTAATGAATAAATACCAGACAAGGGTAAATACCACAAGAAAAGAGGGCAGACTTTACTCGGTAACAAGCAGTTTGAACTTAACAGTAAAGTTTAACCGTAACAATATAGACGAGCTAGCTAACACAGGATGTTATATACTCTTTTTGCTTCAATAATCTTTTGGCAAATAAACTGTTACATATTAAACATGTCAATCTGCTCTGATGTCTTAGTATCTCAAGACAAAGGTAGGCCTGTTTGTAGTCTCCTATTTGGCTAAATGTACTTTTAAATTTAGACTAAACAAGTTTAATAGAAGGAAAACCTGTAGCTACCATTAGCATTGCTAGCATGAGTAGTTTTCTTTCCTTGTGTTTACTATGTGTGGTTGTTCAGCACTCTGACAGTGATTATATAAATGACAGAGGACATATACAACCATATTTTTTATTTTCTAGATCAAAACACTGCCCAACAAGATGCCATTGTTGGTTTAAAATATCAAGGCATTACCCAGGGTCAGTTAGTGGATAACGTCTTCCTCAATGCATTAATTATAACTGATTTCACTGAACAGCAGTACTATTTTTTACACAAACTAGGCACATATCTAATGACACAATAGCAGCTTAGCTTTTAGAAGTCTTTTTTTCTCTTTTACACCATATATAGCTTATTTATGTTTTGCAGTCATGTCATTGCTAATAACATGATGGCTAACATGATGTTAACTTGTGTGCTATTTCGGATGTGTGACACTGCAGGGTGACTAAGGCCCCAGACACACAGGTCTAGAGATGAGGCTGTGATCATCTGCCAACCACCAGTTGCTAGCAAAAAATGTTTATTCACTGACTAGTTGGTGAAAGCCTTTATTCCTAGAAAACTGCTACAGTCGCCCACGGTTTACAAGGAACATGTTGACTTATCTGCACACACTTGCCAGCTACTCTCAGAGCAGTAGTAAAACTTTTGCCTTCAAAGCAAAAGCCACATCGTTTAAAATTACTTGGCTTTTACTTTGAAGGTGAACATTCTCTGTTTGTGTTGCAATTTTTTTCAAGGTTTAATGCCACTGAGGAAGCAGTTTGCGAGTGTTTGCAAATAATTCACCAACTTGTGTAGAAACTATAGGCAACCACAACAGTTTGTTAGTGGCCAAAGCAAGAACAACAAAATCTTCCTTATACCACTCTCTTTGAGACCACTTTCAACTCGCAACCTCCAGCAACCACTTGCCAAACAGTCTGGGAACAGTAGCTACCAGTGGTTGTATCACGTCCTATATGCAGACAACTTTCATGCAATGTGTGTATGACGCCATGTAAAAAACTGCTACACCTCAATGAAACAGTAGGAAGGTGTTCAAAGTATGAAAAAATAGAAATTGCTAAACATGTTAGGTACACCAATTGTGCATCCTTGGAATGTAATTGTGCATTCATCAGTTTTCAGGTAAGCACATCCTGGTTTCCCTGTTTTCAAGTCACTACAAAGCCGTGCGTGTGTTTGTCTTACTCCTACTAAACTACACCTTCAAAAGAGTAAAATGATTAGCTTAGGTACAAAGATGATTTTTGTTTCTTTGCAATCAATTTGGAAATAATGAGGCCTTGGCTTCATTTTTACATTCAAATCTTTTGTTTCTTTTGAAAACATGCCACAGCTCTGGGACTTTTTGTCATTAGACTTTTATGATGATTGGCAGTCCATTTTATTCCCATCTGCCAGCGGGAGGAGTTGGAGGGACCATTGCTCGGGTTTGTGCTCTCCTTAAAAAAACACAACATCTCTAATGCTATCTGTACAACATTCAACAACACATTTCTCTTGATTTTTTTTTTAACCATAATGCTAAAACAATAATACTTATCATTATAAGAGCATTTTTCCATCTCAACGGCATTGAACAAACACCACACAAACTGAAATAAAAATCTAATAAAGGCCTCAATACCAGATAGTACACGTCACCTTCAAGTGGTGCTAGAGATAGACTGTTTACAGATGAGAGCAGGACATGGAGGGAGAGCAAGCATGACGAGGGGAAAAAGAGAGAGTAAAAGGAAAACGGTGAATTATTTTGTTTCCTCTAGTGTATTTGATTTAGTGTCACATCAGACATGTTTTGGCATCTCATGAGATTAAACACAACGTATATGTGTCTTAGACTTGGGCTTTGGTTTACCAAGGGTTAGTATTATGACCCGAAGTTCTCTAACCCTACTTCTACAACAATTTTTACTTGTCTAAGGGTAGGTAGTTCATTCTTTTAAGAGTCTAGCCATGCTAGAACATAAGGCCTAGTGACCTTGTTTAAGGCCCAATGGGCCTGAAAAAATGGCAAATAATAAAAACAAAAACACAAGAATAGAGGGATCAGGAGGTGAACACAGGAGAAGATGATCAAGAGAATGGGCTGATGTGTTGAAGGGGAATAGGAAAGAGGAAAGAGAGTGTGTCGATATAGGCTAAGTGCTTTTGGTGAGTTTTACAAAATATACCAGGAAGTGCTTGAAACAGAAGGCACGGTGGCATTGACAGTAGTTGTTAAAGGAGACACCACTAAGGGACTTTCACTACAAAACTCATAAGGTGCTCTAAAAAGGGAACTTAATCACATTAATGCACATTAAAGAGTGGTCACAATCATAAATTACCCCATCAATTTGAGTCTTAGCAGATAAATAGAGGCTGTTAACCAGTGTAAGAGAATATTAATGCCTCACATTCATAAATATACCTTCAAACTAGGATAAAGAAATGATTACTGGATGTTTCCACATAAAAAACAAAATGCACTTCATTTTTTTCCTAACCACCAGTTCAGTGGTCGAATATCTGATACACTGACAACCTAGCTGACTGATTTTGCTAATCGATGGGGTAAATCTACTGAAACCACACATTTACACACTTAAAAATGACAACCGAAAGTGACAACTGCCATTGAAAAAACGTTTGGTCTATTGATAAAGTCAAAATGAAAACAACTACTTTGGGAACTCAAAAAAAAACTTGCACAGTGCTCTGTATAGACATTCCAACTAGTCTTAGCTCACAAACATTATAATCAATATCACCTATATTGATAACCTTTTTCTGTAAGCATCTTGAAAGGAAAATAAACAAAAGTCTGCTTTTTTTTTTTTTCGTCTTTACAAAAGCTACACATATTCTACTGGGATGCCTATGCGTTTGTTAGTGTTTTAATAATTACTCCTACCATTGTCTTTTCTTTTCTTATTAAAACAAAAAAAAGAAGAAGAAGAGAGGGAAACTACTCATCTAAAACACACCGTAACCCAAGAGTACAGTTTGTTTCTTAGATTTAGTCTTGTCTGGCAGCTAGACTGCTTTCTTTGTCGTTCTCTACCTTGTAAAAAGTTAAAATTTTCCTTTTTTTTGACACAGTCGTAGTCTCTTCAAAACAATGTGTCAGTTGATTGTATTCAGGAGCTCAAGCGTCGCCCCTTCAGCCCTCACACAGACTCTCGCTCTGTGTTCAGTTGGTGCCTTTGCATCCCCAACCAACAACCGCTACCATTGTAAACACTGAATGTTGAACTCTGACCTCCTTTTTAAGCGCTCAGCTTTTGACCTTTCCTCACATTATATCACATACTTTTTTTTGTTCTTTTCAAGCTGAGCCACAAACAGCTACAGTCTGTGTCAAGGACATTACACTATGATGTAGCATTTCTTTTACAACTGAACTATTCACAACACCCTAGAACCACTTTTAACAAATATATTGTACTTAAATCGTTTAAACTGTATATTCAGATAAAATGAACGATCTATCAGAGCCTCGATGGGCAAGGATACCAGAGACTCTCTCGACGACATACATGAACAGGCACTAACTGAAAACAAATGAACAAAAATATTACAAACTTTCTGTTTTTCTTTAGCACAGTCATCAAGAAACACTTTTCTGACAAACAAGGCAGTGATACATACTTGAAGGAAAGCACATGGCCTGTAACGGTTGCCTCATGCCTTAAATTAATAAAGAATAGCTTAGCCGAGGTTTGCAGCTTGAAACTTTTTTAGACTAAACTTTCCTCCATGTCTGTTTGTTGTAGTTTGAGGAGGAACCTGAAGCTGTTCAGTGGTCAGTCCGTCAGGAGAGCATCTAGTCGCAGCTGGCTCCAGCATGGTCAGTGTTGTAGTCTGGGATTTACCAGTCCATTATAAGTGTGGGATAAACGCACGACTCTAGAATGATGCAGGACCTTGCCCTAGATCTTTCGATTATCAAATTGGAGATCATCGTAAAAATCACCCATCTTTCGGTGAAGTCTGAAAAACAAATAGAAAATGTGGCCGACAAAATCCTGAAAAGATGCGTCCATGCGCTTTCTTTTTACAGGAATTTTACCGTATTTTGTGGTGGACCACAAAGCCAAGGAGACAAATAATGACAGAGGAAATACCATAGCTTTGGCTCTCCTCTTTGTCAAGACTCCTCAGGACTGCCCAGAAATGAAGGTATGACAGGGCAAAACCATAAACAACTTCTCTCTATGTAATACTTTCTGCCCTTTCTTCAATTCTTTGTCAAAATTTGTTGGAAAACAATAAACCCAACATTCCAATTTAAGCGGTGTCATTGAAAACATTTTAATCTCCTCAGACTCTATCCTCCTCCCCTCCAACGTGGTTAGAGCTCAGGGCTGGTGAAAGAGCGAGGGACATCCTCAGGTCTTGGTCTTGTGAATCCTCCAGACTGCTATTCTCCAAATTCTCTTCAAATTCTTCATCTTGTTCATCTCTCTCTTCATCAATTTTGCCCTTGAGTTCAGGAACATCTGTTACATTCTTTGACACTGAGGACATGGAGTTTGGGTGTTCAAGAGCATTACCCAGATGTTCTGCTGTGTGCTCAGAGAGACCATTAAGAGTTTGGGACTGAGTTAAGGACCATTCTCCCATGGAGGCCTGGGACTCGGCCTCACTTACGTGCCTCCATATTGTCAGAGGGTCGAGGTCAGAGGGATCCATCCTTGGCCTTGTGGTCTTTGAGGTTCCATCATCATCCAAGATCACTGAAGAGCTTCTTTTGCGCCTGGACTTACTGGTGTGGTTGACCTGGAGATGCATGGCCATCAGCTCTGCTGATGATGTTCGAAAAGGACAAAACAAACACTCGCTCAGTTTGACCCCTGTTGAACTATCCTCTACGGCATCCTCACCACCTTCCCTTACACTCATGCCTCCATCCTCCTCCATCCCTCCAAGACCAGGTGAAGTGCGACGGGACAGATCCAGTGGTTCAAAACCACCCTCCTGAGTTGATGGCACGGGTACTTCCTTGTCACTTGATGCTTGAACCATTCGGCTTGTAGTAAGGGGCTTACGTCGTGACACCTTAGGTGCCTTTGGTGGAGGAGACTCCCTGATCCAGCTTCCTTCCATTCCACCTTGGTAAAGAGCGCCCATTACTCCAGACAGGTACCTGTACTGGGTCTCTAGGTCAACATCCCTTAGAGCTGCTAAGGCCTTTCGATGCTCCCGCTGGTCTGGAAGTCCCAGGAGCCAGGACTGCTGGCTGGGTCGAGAGGCGGGGTTGTCTGTTGGAGCCCGGTTGACCGGGCAGTGGTTGGGTTGAGATCGGCGCTGCTTGACCAATCCAGAGGTTCCAGAGGTCAGACTGTTGATAGTGGAGGTGAGACCAGAGGAGGAGGAATTTGAGGCAGCTGATAAGGCATTGCGTTGCTCCCTGTGGTGCCGCTGGAGATGGTACTTCAGAGAGCCAGATTGAGTACCCGCATAGTCACAGTGGGGGCATTTGTAGGGTCTCTCACCTAGAGAAAACACAACGAAGAAAGTTTATTTATAGACCAGTAAAAATAAAGCTAGAAAAATCTTTTAAAAAACAGTGGGACTCATTAGATGCTCCAAAATGAATTCCCCAAAATGGGTGTTCACTGGGTAAGAAGGAAAAAAAAATATTCTGGTGATTTTAAGTATTTTTATATTACAGTTAGTGAAATACCTTTGTGTTAGTATTAATGATATCATATACCAGCTATTTTATGGCATACACAATTTTGATTTCACATACAGGATGTTTTTTTTTTCTTCAGTAGAAACCTGATGGTACTCACCTTTGACCCTGAAAAACAGTTGCCTCTTATACACACATATACAGTCATGCAAAAAAGAAAGCTTTCACAGGTCCTTGAAGCCACATGATAAACTATGAATACTCTTGAGACTTCCATTGGAATTAAATACTTAAGTAGTACCCAGGTGCTGCTAATCAAATATGCTTGATTAAATGATCATCAGCAAGTCTGAGCATTTCTATGAAAGCAGAATTTTTAGCAGTTTTCTGATCTGGCAGGTTCAGGAGTATGTTAATAAAAGGACACAATCTTCCCAGGAGTGGACGTCTCTGCAAATTCCCCCCAATTCGACACTGTCCAACAAACCGCAAAGGACCTAAGAGCTGCATCTCTGACTCTACAGGCCTTAGTTAGCATGTTAAATATTAAAGTTCATGACAGTACAATTACAAAAAGATTGAACAAATATGGCTTATTTGGAAGAGTTACTAGGAGCAAGCCTCTTATTGCTAAGAAACACAAGCATACAAACTGTTGAGCACAGTTGTGAAACAGTGATCATTTGGGCTTGTTTTGCAATCACAGAACCTGGGCGCCTTACGGTCATTGTGTCGACCATTAACTCCTCTGTATACCAAAGTAATTTAGAGTCAAATGTGAGACCATCTGTTTAATAGTCAAAGCTTGTTTCAAACTGGGCCATGCAACATGAGAAAGATCCCAAGCACAGCAGCAAATCTACAACAGAATTGCTGAAAATAAAAATTCAAGGTGCTGCAGTGGCCTAATCAAAGTAAAGATCTCAACCTGACTGAAATGTTGTGGTGGGACCTTAAAAGAGCAGTTCACAAGCCAATAAACGAATCATGTTTTTTCACAGGAAAGCCAGTTTTGCAAATAAAATAAGGTCAGATTTATTTTTTCCAATATCAATATATACTTATACTTTTTTATGGCAGCTAAAATTAAATTTCCCTGCAAATAATTCTTATTTTTTAATCAGTTTTACTCCTATTTACTGAGGACTATCTCATGGGTACACTCTGTGTGAAATGCAGACCTGAGGACAAATTTCAGCAGTCTAAATGGTTTCATGTGTAAAAGATACACAAAAATTGCAATCATTTTTAAAATAGGTTAAAAGTACTTTCACTATGCCACAGCACTTATTGCAAAATCGTAACATTGCAAATAAGTATGGCAAGCAAGTATTTTGCAAAATTGCAGCAAGTATAAGCTGCTCAAAGGTCATTTGAGCAGTTCTGAGTAGGAGGTGCAGTTACATGTTTTAAAGAAAGATGGCAGTATTCCATTACTCATTAAAAATTACACAGCTGGGAAAGATAAAGGGGATGATGTTGAACATTAACAGCAGGAAACGTTAAACATATGAAAAACGTAAATGATCTTATTCCCAAGAGTCAAAAAAGAAAAAACTGGTCACATAGGAGGAACGCAGGCGCACGTACAGATGCAGGGACAACTTGATTGTGTTGGTGAAACAAACACTAAAGACGGGATAAAACTCTCGATGGGAAACGAGATTCTGAAGAGAGCATTATCATAATTTGATGCATTTGCTTTAATTACTGACCATGTGATAATCACTTGATGGAACAGAGGCAGTAGTGTATGAGAAAATGAGCAGTGCATGATTGGGAAAAATATAAACGCGTTGAGATAAGTCCTTTCAGCTATAAAATGAGTAATGATAATGGCAACTCTTAAAAAGACTTCACACTGTGCATTTTTTGGCTGCTGTCTTTATGGGAGGTTCTCCAGTTAGTAGTGATAGGTGGCATCGCAAAAAATGAGAGATGGGTTTTAATTTTGATCAAATACATCACCTGAAGGCAAATAATGAAAAGTGACGATGACTCATGCTGATAAAGGCTTATGAATATGGAACATTAATTAATAGTATGAGTGTGAGTGGTGTTTGAGATTCTAACTTTCATTAAAGTCCAACTAGTTGGTTATCAGAAATCCTGTACTCAGTTTTTCCTCTTTTTTTTCTTTTTGTCCTAAAAAAGTTTATTAAAATGTTTTTTCTCTTTACAGTATTTAAGATGGATGTTAAAGATTTTTGTTACAGATTCTTGTTTCAAAGACAGCGAATTCTCTGCAATTTTTCATGCATTTAATATGTGCATTATTTAGTATTTTTATGTAATTGACAAGAAATAAATGTGTCTATAAAAATAACTAAGTTATTAAAAAAAACATCAAACCACACCAGTTTCATTTAGCTAAATTTTGCATTATACAAATCGAAATAGAGACATGAGGATTACTGTTTAATTAGTGGAGAAGACATGAAAAGGTTTTCTTTTGTACCGTTTACTGGTAGCGATGTTAGAGGCCAGTAAGAGAAGTGAGCAATTTCCCTTTTTAATCCCTGGAGTGGCTTGATTTTTTCCCCCCAGAAACTACTGTTAATATACGCTCAAGCAAGGCACTTAAGCTGGAGTTGCTCCGGTGGAGCAGCTCAGTTGCCTGCAGTAGAGGGCTATGATTAGCGCTGGCCAGGCCTCTGGGGTAAAATCTTTTAAAAAAAGAAAAAGAAAAAAACTGTAGTTCTAGAAAAGCAACAATGCTCAATGCAACCTTTCCAGGGATTTATAAAGGTTAAAAAAGTAAACACGGTTTGTTAAACTCACAGCAGTATCTCACCTGTGTGAACTCTGAGGTGCACTTTGAGATGGTGTGAAGAGCGAAAGGCTTTGCCACAGTAGGGGCAGTCTTTTATCCCTCTGCCACGCACTCGCTCCCTGGTGGGAACTGAAGGTATGGAGGAGACTGTCGTCAGCCCATTTTCTCCTGCAAGTAGGGAAGAAGGGAAAAAAGTGGAAAATGTAAAGATAGCAGCTAAGATTCTAATGACAATAGAAAGTTGAAAGTTGAAGTTGAAAAACAATGCATTCTTATATGATAGCAAACAAACACAAACCAAAGAACTAGAAAAAACACTCATGTCACACCTTTGAAGCTTGAGATGACAGAGTGAAACCCTGCAGCCCCTCCAGCTTGTTGTGATCCACCACCCATCAATTTTGATTCCTGTCTCAGTTCTGCCATTTGTTGGGATCCACCGCTGTGTAGCTGGGATTCTTGTCTCACTTCACTGCTGCCTCCTCTTCCCAGCCCCACTCCTCTATGATGACTGCTCCCTTCCTCTTCGCTGCCACCTCCTTTCTGGGGCCTCTGAGTGTGAACTCGAGCATGAACTACCACCTGCTGTAGACTGCGGAACAGCTTTCCACAATCTGGGCATTCCCATGGCCCTCCTGGTCCTCCGGTCTCTTCTCTAGGATCCAGGCCTCCAAGGTAGGCTCTGACTTGGTCGACCTCTGTAATCACTGAACTCCGCCCCGGGCCTCGTTGCCCTTGCTGCTGGCCTCGCTGATGAGGCCTTTGTTGCTGAGCTACCGCCAAGCTGCGAGCCACCAGCTGCCACCAAGTTGCCTGATCTCCTCCTTCTGAAACTGTTGCTGGAGTTTCCCCGGTTCCCCCTGCTCTAGTCGTTCCCCCTCCTCTTCCCGAGTCTGCTCCCCCTGCAGTACCACTGCCACCACCGTTTCCCATCTCTGCTACTTGAGCCACTGCTTGAAGTCTCTCCATGCAGCTAGCCCCACTGCCATCACTAGGCAAACCGAGATAGCCCAGGATGGCTGACTTACTCAAACCCATCCCAATTCTGCCTCCAGTTTCTCTCTCTGGTCTTCCCTGACCTCCTCTGGCACCACCTCCTCGCTGAGTCAGAAGGAGACTGGAGTAGAGGGCGTTGAGGGAGCTTTTAGACTGCTGCTCAGCACTTCCTGGTCCCCCAGGGTTTCCCAGTCCAGCCTTGAGGCCAAGTTTGTTGAGATGAACTTTCATGTGATTTTTTAGGAACCAAGGCTCCTTGAAGCCACGGCCACATACCTGACACTTATGGTCCAATGAGTCCTTGTGCTTTCGCATGTGTCCCTTCAGAAACCATGACTGCGTAAATCGCTGTCCACAAGTGTCACAGCGAAATGCTGGCAGTGGAGAGGACCCGCCCACTGCAGCAACTGATGTCAGCTGTGGGTTGCTCGGGGTTGGGGCTGGCGTGTGGGTTGGCGTGGGTACTGGGGTGTCGGGGGTTGCGATGATGGGCCTCGAACTGTAAGCTGGTGGAAGAGCAGGTACATCGGGAGAAGGGTGGCACTCCTGTAAGTGGGACGCCAGGCTTTCTTCTTGGCTGGCAGAATAGGGACAAAGAGTGCATTTGTATGGATTGTGGAGAATGCGTACATGCCGCGCCAACTCTGAAGCTGTTCGGAATTTTCCTTTGCAGGCATGGCAGCGAAATGTAGGCGTGATGGAAGCAGATACGCCCTCCCCGGTGGCTGAAGAATAGGGAGAGGTCACGGACACAGGGTCCTCTGTCAGCGGAGGGGTCAAGGGTGTGCTGTCATCCAGTAAAAAACTGGGGTTCTGGTCTGTCTGTAGTCCATCATCGAGACCTTTGACCTCACCATTGACTTCATCGTCTTCTGTGAGATGCTGGATGAGAGCCCCAGGCAGTAAACGCTGGTTTGGGTGACTTCTGTGATTCGGAATTAGGTCTTTGTGGTTCTGCTGGATTTTGAGGTGCTGCTTTAGTGGAGCTGAAGGGAGCCCAGTCCTATACAGAGCTGAAGCTCGCCGGTCTCTGTCCAGACTGTGAGCTCGTGCATGAAGAGACAAAATACTTTGGAATCTGAATCTCTTTCCACATACATGACAGGGATACCTGAGTGCAGGCCCCGAGGAGGCCCCTCCAACTCCAGGTGTGGCCCTGGTAACAGTATCCTTCTGGAACAGCTGGAGGTCTAGTTCATCACTACAGTTCCCACTCTGTCCTGAAGACAGGGCCAGCTCCAGGGCACCACACCCGAGTAATGGTGCTGATGGTGTATCTGGCGGAGAGGAGTCCAAACAGGGGCTGCATCCAGCTTCTTGTCCCCCTCCTCCTGGGAACAAAGCCACTGCCGGCGTTGGGGATGGAGGTACTCCATCCAGCCCTTCCTCATCATCTTCTTCATCAACATCATGGTGATTGCTGTTATTACCCTCGTGGAGGGGGAACGGAGAGAGGGGGAAATAAGGCGCAGTGTCCGGGCTCTGGGGGGAAGGTTCGGAGCTGTGAATGGGCAAGACAACAGGGCTATCGGGGAGAGAGAGCTGAGTGTGAGGAGAGGAGGTCTGGGGGCTGTGGTCTAGAGACGGCAGCGTTGGGGGCGACTGGGTCTGCTCACAAGAAAGAGACAACACACACTCCGGTGGAGAATCCATCCTCTATCAGAAAAAACACAAAGAGAGGGAGAGAGACAGATAATGAGCGGCAACCAGCGACTTAAGAAGGAGTTAAAAGTTAAAAACCTCAAGAAAAGGTTAAATTTGCATGTTGTGCATAATTAGCTTTTGTAGCACAACCTTGGCCAGATTTTAAAAACTGCACAAACTTCGACGGTATGAGTCTTTATATGTTGATGCATGCGCATATAGGAAAATAGAAAAAAGTCCTACCAGCATTGTGTGTGATGTTATGCCATTCTTTAGTGTCTCTGCTGAGGGGGGACACAGTACTGTGGCAGTCTCCTCTTGTAATCGTCTGAGGACAAAAACAAGCATAGAAAGCTCAGAAAATTATTTGCAACCAAAAATCTAACAATTACTGCACTTGAAGTTGTTCCCACCCTTTTTTTTAAAAGCATGTTAAGACAATTATCTAACTAAAGACTTTAGGTAAATTAGGAATAATAGTATCAGTGTAATGCTTTTGAAATATCCAGCGATGAACTGCAGGTAGCAGAGTTTTGCCGAACAGGATTAAAAGCTATTTACACTAAGACCCTTTGAACAGATTCCACCCTAAATTCTGATTGCAAAGCACCAAATGCACACTCAACAATACATTTTAATGCACGTGCATGTTTACTACGAAGAAAATCTGTATTTGATCGTCACTTGCTCCTCAGCCTGCGTTGGTGTGCGCATTGAATGTGTAACAGGTGTGCACCTGTTCTGCCTCCTGCATGTGTTCAGCGTACATGCTGGCATACTGTTAGCACATATGGGATGATTATCTGAAGTGTGAACGTGCATTGGTGTGTGTGTGTGTTTAGGAGTTAAGGGCACCACCACAGGACATGGACTGTCCCAAACAGGATGGGCGCGCAATGTTTTGACTTCCCCACACACCCTTCCTGAACAGTCATACAGTAGCAGCTTTTTTTGCTTAAATCAGGCCCGGACACACTCACAAACACACACACTCACATATGGTATGCATGCACCTAGCCAGAACAATAAATCTGCTGTTTGGGTGTGGTGGCATTCACCCATACATTGCTTAGTCATGCTTAATTGTTGAAGTCATTTATATATGTGAGCTTATTCTGCTGCTGCCGCCGCTGCTGCTGTTGTCTCGACTGTACTGCGACTGTCACCCCAGATAACAGAGTCAGCTGAAACGTGAAGTGTGATACTGCGCATTGAACACGCACAAGCATTTTGGCAGGGCACGCTCACACGCCCAAATATTTTGAGAGCGCAGCACTTCGCCTCACTTCCACCGAATTTGTGTGCGCCGTGGCTGGTTTTTGTCCATCATTTTTGCAGGAGTTGAGCACCCACAACACAACAAAAAGGTCATAAATCACTGTGGCAAAAACAATGGAACATCTGTGCTCGCAGGTGTGTCACCCACATTTTTGTTCACATGGTGGTATGGTCACATATGTGTTTATATGGATTTGAGTATTTGTGTGTGTGTGTGTGAGAGTTACTGAGGCTTGATGACAAAGAGATTCTCATGTAGCCAGTTGACATTTTAGCTCAGCTATGACTCACAGGGATATCACACCATATCAATCACATAAACACACACACTTACACACACACACTCTCTTACACAGACACAGACAGTCCTTTCTTAATCCACCATTATTGTTCTTTCTCTCACCATATTCCTTTCCCTTCTGTCTTTCTTTCTCTCCCTGATTCATACTTCTTCCCATCCCCCTCTCATTCTCTCGTTCCCTCCCTCCCTCCCTCCCTCCGTCTATTATTCACTAATTTTCTTTCATTCTCTCCCTCTCCCCTCTCTCTCTCTCCTCTCTTTTTTCTCTCCTGCAGTGTTGCCAGTTGGCAGAGTGCCAAGGAATGCTGATATCAGCTGGTAGATTGGGCCCTGCCAACATGGCGAAGAGCAAAGAAAAAAAATGAGAAAGGAGGCAGACAGAGAGAAAGAAAGAGGGAGACACAGACAAATAGACAGAGCAGTTACAAACTGGGCAGCATTAAAAAAAAAGAAACAGTCTCAGAAGCCATGTGAACGAAAATGATTTAATTTGATTGGCAACATGGTGTTGAGGGTAAAAGCAAAGAAACCAAAAAAAGAGAAAGCGACATGCTAGAACAGAGAATAGCAGAGAAATCAGAGTAGTGATAGTGGCAGGCTGGGGCATAACATGAAGAGAGAGCAACATTTAAAAACCATTTTGAAAGTCAACACAGAAATACACATGCAGACAGAGACGGGGGGGGGGTGCAGAAAGGGAGAAGGAATAAAAAGCAGGAAAAAGAGAGAGAGAGAGCGGCTATCTAAATGTATCTGCTGCAGTATTAAGTCTGATGGCATTATCATATGAATATCACCATCACAATGCATTGTTCCACCGTGACGGTGGCTGTCGCCAACCACCGGCCCTGTCATGCCAATAAAGAAAATTTGGATAGATTGAGAGAGGGAGATAAGGTGCAGCAGAGGATGCATGGGAAAAGGGGGCTGGGGGTGACTCGGGGAGAGGGTGGAGTGGGGAAGAAATCATGCTGGAATCAGGTGGGGGAGAAACACATAAAAAGCAGGTGTAAATTAAGCAAGAAGCGCACCGAAGACGACATTCTCACATCATCCACAAATGCTGCTCATTCCCAGTGTGTCCACACACACACACACACGGCGAGCTATAAAATGGATTGGGGTAGGTACTCAAAGCAAGGGTGAGAGCAGCGTACAAAAATGTGACACCTACGTGTGTGTGTGGTGGGTGTTTTTAGTTTTGTGAGGGGAGGGGTAATAATCTGATTTTAAATGTGCGTCATGGCAATGAATATTTAATATTAGGTAATGTGATCCACGTAGGAGATTCACAATGATATTACAGACCAGCAAGTGGCCCACTTGCAAACCAGAAAATGGGGTCTCACCCAATCTTAAATCTTCACTCTTATCAAAATACAAGAGAAAGTGATGGATTTTCTTGAAACTTTCATTCAAACAACATGAACAACACGGGTTGTTGGCTATACACAATAATACATACTCATTTTAAACTGAGCTTCTGTTAATACTGCAGCCCACCTGCAGTACCTTTGCAGCCCAACAGGGGGCCCTGGCCCATACTTTGGGAATCAGTGCTATAGACTTTACAAAACAACTTTCTGGTTTGCTTTAGATAAACACAAAAACTGTATATAAACAATGGTCTGGAGCCATGAGTGTAGCATAATTTTTGCCTTTTACACTAGCACCTCAACTAGACTACTCAACGAGGTTTTGGTCGTTTTCTATTACCACCTCAATGTGGGCGGGGTCGTTATAGCAAGGCAGCCCAAAAGTCCAGTGACACTGTTTGCCTGCAATCCAAAGATAACACAACAATGGAGGTCGAGGCGATGGTACACCTGCTTCACGCACTTTGGCTTTTTGTCAGACTCAGGGTAAAAGAAAGAGCCAAGTAGGTGTGAGGCCATTGCCCAGCAGCCGTTGCCGGGTTTGAGTCTTGCGAAAGAGTTGCTCTCATGACTCCCTCAGTGACCTCATTTGTGGGCCAATCAGTGGCATGCGGTCTTCTGACATCACTTTTTCAACTTGACTCAGGTCACTTGGAAAACGGTCAGAGTAAGCGCTAATAAACTGCAGAGTACCCATAACTACCACCTAATGAAAAAACCCTAAAACCCAAGTTGAGTTTAGCTGAGCAGGTACTAGTGGAAAAGAGGCTTAAGAGCCACTGTAGACATACATGCTAGCAGGTTGTCAATCACAGGATAGCCACACATTTAATCAGGCCCTGATTTATCGCCTAAATGTGATCACAATTTACAAAATAGACATCATGACATCATCATTAAAAAGCGAACCGCTGAGATCCTAAATTGCTCAGGAAAGCGTTTGCTAAGATCACAAATGGAGTGAAACGCAGGGTTTCTGAGCAACCTGGTTTCCTGTCGCAGCCACGGCCTGCGGGCCGTTACAAAGACTCCACGTAAAACGCACTTAAGCATTTGTTCCACTTCTCAGGCCCGGAGCTATAGTTGACTGCTGATATGCAACACATAATGGATTTTCCCATCCCTTCGATACAAACTGGATTTTCCTGCACTTTCACTGGCTTTTCCTGTTTTTTCCCTTTCTTTTTTCCCCTGATCCTGAAATTTGCAGTGCATGAGCAGGAGTGTAATGACACAGTAATTCGCAAGATGACACCAGCTTTAAAGCGTCCCAAAGTTGACATTCCAGCAATTGAAATGCAGCTTTGTGGGTCCTGAATTGCCTTGACTGGAAATGAGGTTTTTTTTTATCATCAGGGTCACTATGTTTTGTTTTGCTTTTTTAAACTGCACTGTTTAAATACTGATAACTACTCCTTGACTCAGATCACAAGGAGTGCATAACGATGCGGCTGAATCATACGTTACATCCCTGGTAAATACTAGCTGAGGGAAATTTGCACAATATGTTCAGACAAGTTTTTTGTTTTTTTTCTTTTAGGTGGGGGTGGGGATCGGGGGTGTCACTGTGTAAATATCCACCGAGGTGGCAGAGTTTTATTGTGGAGGCAGTCAGTGCAGGTTTGCACATGCACATGAGAGATACATGTTGTAATTGTAAATATATATCAGGGTGTGAACACCTTTCACCTAGTGTTCATAATGGTACCCGTGTGTGTGGGATAGAAGTGTTATACAGCTTCATAATAAGTAGTGTTAATGTATCATAGGTTGTATATAAGGAGGGTTTGTGTATTGTGATTTGTAGCCTCATGAAGCTAAACAGTACTTTGAATGCCTCGTCACAGTTTGTGTAATTAAGCCTGACTTACAATGATCCCTTCATTCATTTCCTATCAGTCTGTGGAGGTAAATGTCAAAAGATTTAGAATAAATCTGAGTGTATGCTCTGCTCTCCTTGACCCCTTGTGACCCCTTGGGGATCTCGCTCTCAGTTTGGGAACCAGTGATCTATAGCAACAGCGACCTTTGTGTTGTTTGAAAATTAAGTCCTCCTACACGTACCTAAAAATAGACATCTTCAAGGTCTCAGGCACCGGCCTTAAGGCATAAAGTAAGGACTGTGCTCGTAGTCTGTGTGTATTTCTGTGAATCCCTACAAGTGCATCTTTCTTCCCGCTGCATTACTTGCACTCTCATGTGATGAAGCCAGCGCGAGGTGAGGTGTCCTTTGGGGATAAGTGGGTGTATGAGAGACTGACCACAAGGAAGGGGGGGAAAAAAACAAAGTGTGTGAAAAAGAGAAGATGAGAGCGAGAGGAAGTGAGGGGAGCCCGCTCCCTGTGCGGTACAGTATAATTTGGCCCTGTGGTTTTTATCGCGTGGTCACGTGGCGAACTTCCCCACAGCCGGTATTCATTTCCTTTACTTCACCTTTCCCTGAACCACCACTACCACCTCCTCCCTCCCCACCGCCGGCTTCGCTTCAACTTTGCCTGCCTCGCACTCTCGCTCTTCCCTCATCTTCAGCTTCAACAATGATAAGGGTGAACATCTCCCGTGCAGTCTCCTCCACCGACCGTTAAAGATGAGTGTTGCAGATTGCTTATACGGGGAAAATGCTACTTCATGTGTATCGTTTTGATCGCAGAACGCAAGTGAAACGGCGATCTAATGGCTCGCATCTGTTACGCCGTTGACCTTATTCGAAAGGTACTTTAGCGGAGTTGAAGAAAAAGTTACATTAAAAGGAAGCGTCCCAACTTTTACCGTCTTTCATCTGCGCAAAGTCCAGCTTGAGCCAGCATTTCCTGCCTCACTGATGTGTTTTATGTTCCACTTCTCACAACCTTACTCCTTTTTGCTTCTTCCTTTCTAACCTCTCCTCCTCTAATGCACCATCCCCTCTCGAGCTCCTGCTTCTCCTCTTTTTGAATGAATTACTCCTCTAGCGAGAGAACACGAGCTGATGCTCGAACTGGGAGGCAACGTTGCAGTGCCAGACCCGAGCGGGCGAATCCCGAACACCGGAAAGCATCTCGGCAGAGAAAAAAAAGAGTCTCACTCCAACTCATACAGGCCGCGCCGTTCCTAAAACCAGTGAGTGGAGGGGGAAGGGGGGTGCTGAATGACTCGTCTGACTCGGGATTACGAGACTGACGCTTTAAAAGAAGAATTGGTTGGAGCATGTGTGTGGTTGTACGCATTCTTCCTAAAAGGCTTATGTGTGCACACCGAGGATCAGTTGCTAGGTTGGAGACAATCCTGCAGGTGAAACAAACATCCACCTGATCAATTTTCTCCCTACTGTCTGGGAAAAGGTTCAGAAACCTTTCTTCCATGAATGACGCCCCTTCCACTTTAGTGTCCTTAAGCAACACACTACTTTCGACCCCCTCAGGGATGCTCACCACTCACTGTGACCTCCCTGGGGTATTTATGTATATATATCAGATACCTAAAACAGCTTTAGTGTGGGGGGGAAAAGGGTAAGTGTATAATAGTAATGGCTTCATTCTTTCTTCACCCTGGGGAAATTTGCAGAGCATGTGTTCTCTTTCTTAGGAACATCTTGTTTGAAACACACTCTGTTGCACTATATTTTATAAAGACACATATAAATGGGAGGTGCCAGTACTTAAATCAACACATCCTGGTGTAATTCTGGGTGACTGATTGCACTCAAGGGCTCCCTGACTCTATGTATAGGCTGGAATGTAACATTTTATTTCTGTTTTTTTTGCAGGGGATTTGAGCTGAAAAGTGAGGATGCACTCCAACAATGACTTTATGTCTTCTTCCCCACAGTCGCCGAGTACTTGCTCACTGGGGACTGTGGGGTTCTCTCTCTATTGCACAGTCTTCAGGTTACAGTATAAAGTGCTTTGATGCGGTGTCCAGAATGTTTTCAGACTAAATTGAGGCCAAAATAGTTCACACTTTCAGTTTTTCATCTGGGAAGGCATCTGTTGTGCTGATCTCAGCAGGTCAAATGAAATGCAACCAAAAAACACAAAAAGAGTTGTATTGTAACTTTAAAAAAAGATTTGAGGGAGAAATTCAAATACTGCTTGCTTTCATAACATCGCACACCTTGCTGAAAAGCGAAGTCACGGGACTGCCACTAATGGTAAGTTGGAAAAATGTTTTGCTTATCAAATTGTCGTGTTTGATTTTTTTGTTTTTTATTCAGACCGTCTACCTGTACGCCTCTGCTGCAAACGCTGATTTCAGAGCTGGTCTTCCAAACTAAATGCGAGCGACAAAAAGTGGCAGACTATTTAAGTAAGACCCTAATGCTCTAAATACACTCTAATCCCGAGCAGCCTAGCAGAACTCTCAACAGTCTCAAAATGTCACAATGCAGTAGATTCTCCCTAACTGAGGGCAAGCAGGTGCCTCTCCCGCAGCGCACTAATGACCCAATTATATCAATCAGAAGCCTTGATTGGTGCTACACTCCTTTCCCTTTTTCTCTCTCTCCCTCTGTCTCATTCTCCCCTCACATACAATCTCTTTCCCAAGAGCCACCTGGATGGGGTGGATGTGCCCCTTCAAGTACAGTACAGTATGTACAAAGATGGGAAGTAGGCGGCATTGAGGGTGACAGAGGAGGTGGAGGAGGAGGTGGATACTATTTGAACACAACAAGCAGACAGAGGTTTGAATGAAGCAAAAACCATTAGAGCCTTTTTAACATGGGGCCAGTGTTTTATATTCATTAGTACAGCTGGTTGCAGATGAGTATCTGCCAAGGGTTTGACATGAAATCAACGCCTTATATCTAATGGCAAACAACCTGTAGAGAGGCAGGGGAGGCTTTTTTTTTACTAACAGAGTAATAATTAAAAAAAACAATGCTTGCGTTATTAGTTTTTGATCAAGCCCGGATAAGGAAAAGTAGCGTCTTGTTGCCAAAAGTCACTCTTGCAGGCGATGATCCAAAGAAAAACAGGGATTTGGAGTGAAGTCATTTCTTTTCTAATTGTCTCAGCTTTTTTTTCTTTTTTTCTTTTTCGTAGAGGGATTATGAAAGTTAATGTGGATAAACCCGTCTTGAAAAATGCCAAACCCTCCAAAAACATGCCTCATTTTAGGACACGCAAGCAATGTCAACCTACTTCCACTGTGCACAGGCTCTCAAGAGTGTGACATTTTGGGTAGATATGAAAAAAAAAATAGGGCATTTCAGGATCCCTAAACATATTCCATTGGATATAGAAAAAGGCGACGGGAGTGTCTTTGGTCAACCCAGATGACACGTCTGCGCCTTATCTCAAGAGGAATTTCCTCCTCGCCCCTGTGATGTGCGTCAATAACGTGCAACCATTTTCAGTACGCTCCTTTCCCCCCTCTCTCTTCTCTCTCGCGGCCATCTCAATTAGAGGCACATTAATGAAATAAATAACCATCAACAAACAATGCACTAATAAACACCCCCTCACACACACTAAAAATCAAATTAACCCTGCCCGCAGATGGTGTCCGCGCACAATCCCGCTTCCAAATAGAAACAAGAACAACAACCAAAAGAAAAAATGCGATTAAAAATCATGAACACGGGGGATGCAGGGTAGTCGGAGAAGTCGGAGGGTGGCGTGTGTGTGTCATGTCAGCCTATCTATCGCTCTCTCTCCCCTGCTCCATTTTGTTCCTAAATTTTCTATACAAAAGATTAAGGGAGGGGAAAAAGACGAGTGAGCGAGCAAGGAGAGGACGGGAGGGGGGAAAAGTGCCATCATGGATTTCATCTTGAATCCCTCTCTGCCAATCTACCACCGACATCAGTGCCCCCCTCACCCCCCTCAAAAAAAGAGCCATCGTGTCCAAAAACGCACATTTTTGGACGAAAACCGGTAACTTATCTTTACTGAACACAATCTGGCAACACGCGTTTTGCACGCACACGGCCCCAACATTGCATGTATTGCCACACTTGCTATGCTACTTTCTGAGCGCTGAGGTAACGTTAGGACAACTAAACGGGTTGTAGTAAACATTGTAGTAAAAGGTGGCCGAAAGTATAAGGTTTATAAAGCACCGTTAAACAGTCTTTTCTCTTTTTTTGCGCGTATCCCACACGAAAAGTGGCGGTGCTTATCTCGGAAACAACGCACAACACAATGCCTAATGTGTGTCCAACAAAAGAATTAGTCAAGCTAATCGCATCTACCTACAAATTACGCTTTGTAAATCAACTTGCTAACATGCAAAAATCCACTTTTACGCTTGGACAATATGTCCGCGGCTTATCGAAATTCTCCGTTACGCACAGAGAACTTGGCTCTTCTTAAAAAAAATACACATATATAATAAATAATAAAAATATAACCTACTTAAAAAAGAAGAAGAAGAAGACGCCGTTCTTTTTCAGAGAGGTTAAAGAAGAGCTGCCAAATTACCAAACTGCTCGCGCGGATAAAAACAAAAATTAAGAGCTAGCTTGCACAACTACTTAGCTGAAGTTGTGTCCAATTTTTAAACAAAAATAAACCTCCGAGTGACTTTTCGTGCACTTGCGAGCATTTTTAAGTCGCATTTCTTCTCGTGCTGACTGTTCGAGTCGACTTGGTTTAACTGTTACACCGAGTATTTCCTCAGTTATGAGGGAAAACAGTGCATTTCTCCGCTTTTTTTCTTTTCTTTTTTTTTTGTCATGTCACGGCTTAGAAGCGGAGCTCCGACTGCTACATGCTTGTCGACCACGCGCGCACATACACCGGCTTACATACATGACACACACGTAAAGTGGTCCGGAGCGCGCGGTTACATGTATACTTACATACATACATACATACATGCATGCCTCGTGCCAATCACTCACATGCGAGCACGCGCACACACACACAGCCAAAGCTGCCAATGAAATAAATAAATAAATAAATGTGAAAAAGCGGAGTGAAATAAAACACATCAACAACTATGTTGGCCATTATCCCGCGTGTTGCCCGTGACAGAAGAAGAAGAAGAAGAAGAAGAGAGAAAAAAGAGGCAACAACAGTCGCAGTAAATTAAACAATTTTGGAAATGTTTCGTCGCCGGTGTTTCGTGCCAGCACGCATAAAAGTGCATATATGTAAACATAGTGGTAAATAAAATGTAAGAAGATAAATGAAGATATAGGATATATGTTGAAAGTAAAGACTCAGTGTACTTACGGGAGAGGCGGCGAGGAGATTAATGACACGACACGTCATGATTACGTTTCACTTGAATTAAATACATTACGAGTTGGGAAAAAAATGGAAATCAGGGTTGTATACAAGCATACGCCGTTTCCCCCTCCCTCCTCCCTCCGTTTGGTCACCCTCTTCTCTCTCTCTCTCTCTCTCTCACACACACACACACACACACACACACTATCTCTCTCCTCCTCCTTCTCCTCCTCCTCCATCTCCCTTTTCTTTTCCTTCTCCCCTTCTCTCCTTTCTTCTTGCATTTTTGCCCATTTATTACACAGGAGTGAGTGAATGGGGGGGAGTGGTGGGGGGAGCATAGGAGAAGTGGGAGGGAGAGTGATGTAGGTTGGAAATGTTAATTATAATCTCAGCACGGGCACCATTTTACAACGCTGTCATCTCTTCACATTTGTATCCTAAATATGGCATCTGGGGTGGCGGGTAGCTGACAGTTAAGAGACATTTTTTTGGGGTGGCAGGAGAAGAAGGAGAAGAAGAAGAAAGTTTCACACCAACAGAAGTGAGATAAAAGTGATGACAGAGGCAAGAGGCAGCTAAAATGTTGTGGTGAGCCACCCCGGAAGCACATGGCCGCTGTGAGGATGGGAAGAAACAAAGTGCACAAATTTCGATGTGTTGAGGAAGAGGAGGGGTTCCCAACATGAGGCTGGGTGACCAATAGGAGTCGCCCAGGGGTTTTCCAAAAGGTCCCAAACGAAAGTGTAGAGGTAAAGAGAAAGTGATGATAAAAGTACAGAATGAGTTTTAAAAAACTAAAAATGTTTCTGTCGAAACTGAACTTGAGGTCAGGCAGAGTTTCATTTCTAGAAAATGTAACAACAACATCAAAGGAAAAATAACAAGTCTGAGTCATTCTGTCTCTGTCTTTGAATGTTCTCCACATCGCCTAGCCAATGCACACTACTGTGTATTGCTGTACCCACTCTAATAGCTAAGCCGCAGCAGGTGCACCATGTCCACACCATGTACCAGCATCAATAGAGTTTGCATGAATAAGTCTCTGGAACACCCCATTTGTTTTGTCATAGACAGAAAGGAGTTTAGGGGTTTCTAATCATAGATTGCCTCTCCACCAAGTCACACCAACTCCAGGCACGGTTTACATACACACATCAAAAGCACTGATGGCATGATAATTTGGGACCTTTAATGATTTATTTGAATTCTTTCCACTGTGAAATACGTGAACACATTTGAGTTCATTTCAGATTTTTTGAGATCTAATCAAGATAGGATCAAATAAATGTCTGTTAGCAATATACACCTTTTGGCATGAGTCTAACTCAGCGGTCCCTAACCCCCGGGCCTCCGTGAGTCGTTTGGTATCGGGCCGTGAGAGTTGAGGCTCAGGTGTGAAATGTATGGTTTTCAGGGTTTTTATCGGTTTTCATCGTTATTTTGTTATCGCTTTTATTGTTAACTCGGTTTTCCTGGGTCTTTTCACGTGTGTTATGAATAAATCTTCTTTTTTTCGGTACCGGTACTAGTTTTATTTTGTTGTATTTATCCGCGACACCTTAAAGGTCGGTCCGTGAAAATATTGTTGGGCATAAAACGGTCCGTGGTGCAAAAAAGGTTGGGGACCGCTGGTCTAGCTGACTTCTTTCATGGCAGAAATGGTAGATTTTAAAATGGTTTGTTTCCTGGGACGGATCCAGTCTTTAGGTTTTAGTCCACACATTTTCAGCAGGGTTGACAGCTTGAGCTTTGGGAAGGCCATTCCAGAAGCTTTAATGTGTATTTGCACACGATATCCAAGTTTCAGACATCTAGCTGTTGATTCGAGGTGAATTTGAATAATTTGAAGGTAGTCCTCCTTCTTCATCATTCCATGCAATGTACCAGAACAACTGGCAGCAAAACATCCCCCAAGCATGATGCCGCCACCACCATGCTTGGCAGCTGGTACAGCGTTTATAAGTTTTACAGTCTCACCTCTACTCCTCCATCCTTTTGTCATTGTAGCCAGTTAATGCAGTCTTTGTCTCGTTTGATCATAAAATGTTTCTCCAGAAGGCCAATTTAAGTTGAGTTTGAAGCTGTTGATTTTGGAGCAGGTGCTTCTTTCTTGGTCAGCACCCCGCTCCTTGGGTCTTCTTCTACACCTTGGCAACATGGTCACACATCAGAATAACTTGTACTTACAAACAGTCATTTGAACTGATAATCTTGGAATCTGCAGTTGTTAAGAAATGGCTCAAGGAGAGCTTCCAGACTCATGTAAATCTACAGTTCTTCTACCTAGATCTTCACTGGATTCCTTCGACTTTCCCATTATTCTAAGTATTGGTCAGTGCAAAGAATGCTATCAAACAAATCTGTTTTATCCTGCAAGGAGAAACTACCAGTTGAAGTAAATCATGATCACTAACAAGAAGTTAACATCCCTTGGCCTAGTCAGGTTAAAAGAGATTCTAGAGCATTCAGAACCCCTTAGTAAAAGATTTCAGTGAGTTTTGAGACTTTTGACCCTGTGTATATTACAGAAAATCCCAAATTAATACAAACTTGTGTACTCAGTTCTTTAGATTAAAGATATGTCCTGTATAATAATTCCCGGTGTTGTTGTCTGTGAGGTCTTAAGGGAACAGTGACATTGACACTGAGCTTATGGTAGCTACATTAGCAACAAGAGCATTTTGTGTGATTTTGACCTTGACTTTCATATCTGCCATCACACAAAATTTAAACACGATATCCTGAAAACAGTGGATTCCAGACTACTGACAAGCAAAAGCCTTTTTCATTAGTACCTAGTCAAATCGACTTGCCACAGTTTTGAGGGTTTTCCATTAGGCCATAGTACTCCGTACCAGGTACTAAAATAGTACCTGCTCGACCGTGGTTCCTAGTGATCCAAGCAGGTAGTAAAAAATGACGTCGTCAGACTCCATGCCACCGATTGCCTGGTCAGTGGCGTCACTCGATGAGCCATGCGAGCGCCCCATTCACGAAAATCGAAACTGTCATTTTTGAAACTAGACAACAAGGGAAATGGCTATAAAAATCAACCCCCTGGTCCCAGAGTCAACGAAAAGCCACAGACCAAGCAGCAGACATGCCTTCACTTTGACATTCACCTTTGTCACACGCTTGGCCGTGTTGCTATGACGATGACCAAGCACATTAGGTGGTACTCTATTGTAATGGAAAACCAGTCGATCCGAGTCGAGTTGTGGTGAATCGATCTTAGTAGGTACTAATGGAAAAGGGGCTAAACAGAACCGATTACATACTAGAATAAATAACTCAAGACAAAGAAGTGGTTAAACACAACAAAAGAAACTCACACAGATTTATTTAATTAGGTTTTTTATTTACTTCAGCCTACAACACTGACCTTTATGACTTTGTAGGAGTGTAGGGTCACCACTGGAGACACAGAAAGCTGTTTTGTGAACTCTTTAAAGCTCAATTTCTATCATTTAATCATTAGTTATTATTAATCTCTGGCTCTCTTCCACAGCGTGTCTTTGTCCTGTTTTTGACCCCTCATCCCCAACCGGTTGCAGCAGATGGCTGCTCCACCCAGAGGCTGCTTCTGCCTGAGGTTTCTTCCTGTTAAAAGGAAGTTTTTCCTTCACACTGTCGCCAAAACGCTTGCTCAGTCATGTGGTTGCTGTAGTTTTCTCTGTATAATAGAATCTGGAGGCAACCGTTGCTGTGATTTGGTGCTATATAAATAAAATAGACTTGAATATCAAAAAGGTAATTGTTTGGATCCCTTTGAAACATTTAAAGAACGAGCACAACTATGCACAGCTTTTCATTCTGTCCAACAGAATCAAGGCTGATGATCTCTTGATGTACGCTGATACAGAGCAAGCGGGTTTTATTCAAGCTTCATTTAAACCCACAGTCCTCAAAGTGCAGCAGGCCAGCGGTGGCCTCTGTTAACAATTCATGCAGCCCCCTAACAACTCCAAAAGAATGCCCTTCTGTACATTTCATTCATCCGGTGCTGCTACATTATGTCACACTGCAAAGTAGTTGCACTGACTGTGACCAAAGGAGCTTTCTCTTTAGGTTTTAACTTTTCTTTGTCTTAAACCTACTTAACATTATCAAATAAAGCTGGGTTACTAAGCAGAAAAAATACAAACACTGAATATTTGCACACGTTTAAAAACCCCTGATTTAAAGCATGGTGCTGCCATTCCACTGAGACTGAAATAGTAAGTGCTGCTAGCTGGCACACAACCTCCAAAATAAGCCAGAAAGACAGGCATTTTTGGCATTCTGTTCCCTTATAAAGTTAGGTTGTACACATACAGCAGCTACACCTTCACAACCTACAACCAACCACCACGAACAACGACATGAATTTAAACCCTTGAGACTGTTTATTCATAACTTTGAAACCCTTGTGTTTCAGTCTTTGAATATAAAGAAACAGCAGTTAAAGATGATTTACAGCTCATCATCTGCTGAACAAAGCACGTCTCCTACTTCACAGGACGACATATGCAGTGTATCTTTACTGGAGGTTTCCGGTCTAAACATCACAGCACTGTAAGCTGCATTCGGTTTCCATTCTTGTGATGTCACCAAATCCTGTTTGTGTTGAACTGAAGCAAAGAGAAACTTTTTCCCCTTCAGCAGATAAATGTGTCATACTGTGCACAAAGCTCGACATCATTCCACACAGTCAAACATCAAAGGGAAGCAACAAAAAAGCGAGACATCATTTGGAATCGAGGGGACTTTAAAAGTAAGACCGCTTCTTTGTTTCTTGGTGGGTTTATCACAAATGGCCGGTTTTAAATTAGTTGCAGTCTCTGGAATCTATGCTTTATATATATGTATATATATATATATATATATATATATGTATTCATTACACTTTCAGCCACTGTATGCCATCAGTTTTAGAGCTATATCAACTTGCACTGAAAGTAAGATCCTATTATTGCTTGGCTGGAAATAAGAAGTTATTTGACAGGTCTTGATTTAGCTCAAATATTTTCAGGAGATCTTTGCCCTCAGCTTTATCTGCTCCGGCTGGGTCTGCATTTTAAGCTCCCAAATGCTGAGTTAAACACAGACTTTGTTTTTTTGTTTTCTTTCTGCAGTGTGCTCTCATGTTCACTTGCAAGCTGCACCG